CGGTTCGGTCGTAAAAAACAATAAAAGTAAACGAACTGTCTCCGAGGGTCTTTCAGGTCAGGGTCTTATACCGTTATTTTATTTTTTTTCGAGCTCTGCAAAAGTACATAACTAATTATGTTTTTCGTCATGTTTTCTCTCTCTCTCTCTCTCTCTCTTCTATCTCTCTATCTATCTATCTCTGTCTGTTTTCGTCTACTCTTCCCTCTCCATATTTCCCTCCTTCGAACATTTACGACTCGTGATTTTCTCGATGGCTCGATTGTTTTAAAATTTTTCGTGTAGTCCTTTTTTTATTGTTCTTTCGACTTATTTGTTTTTCTTTTTCTCTCTCTCTCTCTCAAACTTATTCTCGTGTTTTAAATTACGATTGTTTAACCTTTTGTCCTTTCTTCGAGATTTATCTCTTTCCTCGGATTCGCGCGCGTAAAATTGTTTATGGGGGTTAAAACCTTTTCGCGAAATCAAAAGACAAATCGACTAATGACGATGTTTTTTAGAGGAGCACTCAATACTGATAACAATAATTTTTAATAATTGGAATGAGTTTAAGTAAGGCGAAGAAAAGCCTGGGGAGGGAAAGACGGGGGAAAGGAAATTGGATGTAAAAGATTGAGGAGAGAAAAGAAAAAGAAAAAAAAAAAAGGGAAAATTATTCGAAAGATTAGAATTTAATGAACCATAAATTAATTTTTGATTGATTTTTAAGTCGATTTACTTTTCTTTTTTGGGGAGGCGGGGGCGGGAAAGGGGGAGAGGGGAGGGAAAACGGCAGTGAGAAAATCGGTAGGTAAAGGATCAAAATCAAAGGAAAATCGGTTACATTTTTAAACACTTGTAAAAAAAAAAAAATGATTGAAATTTTTGTTTCTTTTTTTTGGGGGGGGGCAAGGGGGGGGTCGGGGATAAATTTTCGGAAAACAGAAATAAAACGGAAGAAGAAGAACACGCGCAACGCGAAACGAAAAAAAAAAAAGAGGGAAAAATGAAGAGGAAAAAACTTTTAAAATAATTAAAACAAGGAGGCTGCGGTTTTTTTCCCGTTTTCCTTTTGATTAATTCATTATCTAATTACTATAAAAGAGATGAGGATTCGCGGATGAGGATTTCGATTTTAACGACCTAAAAATAATAATAATAATAATAATAATAATAATAATAATAATATTGAGTGCATTATATTTATTTTAAAACAAAAAAAGAAGAAGGAAAATAAACGTGAAATAATCATCATCATCATCATCATCATTTATATAATAAGTTGGGGGTGTATTATTTTGTGTTAGGTTGGCAACGATGCCAAGGTCGTCTCAGCAAAGCAAAATTTTCCTTTTTCTTTCTGATAATGTCGAACGTTCAACGACGAAAGGTTTTGATTGTCGGTCGTCTTGTTGCGGTGTCGTTTGAACTCCTTTTTTTTTTTTTTTTTGCCTTTTGTGACGATTTTCGATTTTCGAAAATTTTCCAGGCGGTGCTCATCATTTATATAATAAGTTGGGGGTGTATTATTTTGTGTTAGGTTGGCAACGATGCCAAGGTCGTCTCAGCAAAGCAATTTCCCCCGTTCGCAATCCGTTGGTTTACGAATTCGTTTTAACCGTGAAATAAGATGGAAAACACACGAAGATGAAATGTAAGGGAAAATTTCAATGAAAATAAAATTTGTTTAGAAATTTGCTTTTAGTTCCAGGGTAGTAAAAATAAGAGGAGGTGGAGTAGGAAGGGGTGGAGGAGTAGGAGGATAATGAAAAAGCTCATAAGAAATGTTTACTCGATTTTTTTTTTTTTTTTTTTTTTTTTTTTCCGTAATCGATTCCTGGTTAGTTAAATATAAAGCTGGAGAAAAGTGAGGAGGATGAGGAGGGATGTGGGGGGAAATGGGAAATGTAAATTTTGTATTTTTTTTTTTTTTTTTTTTGGTTCGGTTTTTTTCCTCTACGATTTCTCTGTCTCTCTCTCTCTTTTCCTCCCCTATTTACTCTCTTTCTCTGTTTTACTTTTTCCAAAACCTATTTTTGTTGGTTGTCTTTTTCATTTTTTTTTTTTTTTTCGCATGAAGTTTTTTGTAGTCCTGTCCCAGGTAAAAAAAAAAAAAAAAAAAAAAAAATTCATACTCGAACGAAGAAGACAAAAACAAATAAATTTCCATAGTTTTTTTTTTCCTCTCTCTCTCTCTCTCTCTCTCTCTCTCGTTCTCTTTTTCTCCCCCCCGGAAATTAAGTAATCTGTGAAGCAACCGACAACGACGATGACGACGACGTTAGAAAAGAGGATTTTTTTTCTCTTTCTTTTTTTTTTTTTTTAATTTGGAGGAAATTACGTGAAAATTCTGGAGAAAATTCCGTGTGTAATTAAAAAAAAAAAAAAAGAAAGATTTTGTTGATTATTATTATTATTATTATTAAGTATTTTTCCGAGGATGTGGAAAATTTTCCGATGTTTTAATAATAATAATAATAATTTTTTCTTTTTCGTACGTTCGCTCGCTATTTTTTTTTAAGATTTTCCTCTTGAGCCGCCATTTAATTTTTTCCAAGCATCTGGAACTGGAAATTGTTTTGTTTTTCTCGAAAATTCGACAGAAAAAAAAATGCGACGGTAAAAAATTAATATTAACACAAACAAAGCGTTGACCGGAAAAACGGGGAAAAAAAATTTTTTTTTTGTTTCAATTGATTTTGAACGTTGATGGATTTAAAATTTGAAATTTTTTCTGGAAAAGTCCAAATGAACGTGTCTGCGTTCGTGAAACGTCGTTAGAGATTCATTTCGACTGACGTGTTATTGTATCCGTAGGTCATCCGTTTTCGAATTTCACATTTCACACTTGTTTGTTTGTTTGTTTGTTTTGTTTTTGGTCTACGTCTCGACTTGTTTTTATAATTTTCTTCATCCGTTTCTAATGTTGACTTTTTTTTAACTCCTCAAAGGATAAAACAGAAAATTTTTAGTCTTTAAACATTACCCGGGTTATCGTTATTAAAAAGAAAGAAATTTTGCCGGGAAATTTTTTTTTTTTGTTCGTCAACAAACATGGTTGCCTCCCGTGTGCGGTTTGGTCACATTTAACACCCGAGTGCGTTGTTAATGACAAGAAGATTTTTTTTGATTTTCTCTCTCTCTCTCTCTCTCTCTCTATCTCTCAGGATCTCTCTCTGGATCTCTCTCTCTTTCTCTCATTGTTTTTTGCAAATTCGCGTGTTAACTAGAGTATGGAAATCATTTTCGAAAACAAAAAATTTACGAATTTCCACTCGTTCCGTCATCCGTCCGTTCGCGTTTTTGTTTTTGTTTTTTTTTTATTGTTTTTTCCACGTACGACCGTTTCCGAATTAATTTTCCAAAATAAATATTTCAAAACCTTACAAATTTTTCCTTTTTTCGAAATGAAATCGGATGTGAGAGGAAAATTTTTAGAAATCGAGGAAAAATGACAAAAAAAAAAAAAAGAAGAAAAATAAACCGGGGAAAATTTTTTTTTTTTTGCTTAATGTTTTTCCGCCCTCTGCCCTCCCACTTCTGTTTTTTTTCTATCTATCTCTCTCTCTCTTTCTAGAAAATTCTAATCGCTTATGTTTTATTTATATTTGTTAATTTTTTTTTATTTATTTATTTTTATGAAAAATGAAT